CCTGGCCCCAGGCAGGCAGGGGTGGGGAGAGGCAGGGAGGGAGCAACCTACCCTCCCTCTTCTCCTGCCTCCTCCTGGCTGAATGAGGGCCGGAAGCAGGGGGCGGGGCTTCGTCATGTGCCCCGCCCCCCGTACCTCACCCGGGGGAACTGCGACCCCCCGCGATCCCCCCCGAAATGACCTCTACCCAGACGACTCCTCATCCTCACACTCGTGTCCACCATGTGACTCACCCCTGTTCTGTTTAATCTTCTCCCCCCCTTCCTTGGTTCCCTTTGCTCTCTGCTGCACTTGCCCTTCCAGGCTCCAAGGAACCGGGACTCCTAAGAGTGGCTTGGCCTGCCTTTTAAAACCTCCTGACTAGTGGGGCACCTCGTCCCATGTCAGCGTACTTGCAGGTTTTCTTCATAGCACATATTTGATAAAAGCTGTTTATAGACACCTTTGCCAGGTTTGGCCTCCATAAACGGAGCACACATTTTGAGCCCGCATCTAGCAACGAGAACCTTTCGGTAGGCTTGCCAAGTCCCCCCGGTGGGGCGGGGAAACCCCCACCCCAGAGGCCCGTTCCCCGCCGGCGGCGGATCGGCCCCGGGGGGGAGCCCCACCCCGACGTGCGTGTCACTCAGAAGTGACGCGACCACGCCGGGGGCGGGGCCACGGTCATCCGAGGAAAAACTCTATGGTTTCCCTCAGATGGTCGTGGCCCCGCCCACAGTGTGCCCGGCGTCGTCACGTCACTTCCGGGTGACGTGTGTGCAGCGCACGCGCTCCTGCCGCAAGCCGGGAGTCCCCCGCTGCAGCACAACGCCGGACTTGGCAACCATACCTTTCAGTCATCAGTTTATTTATATTCTCCCCTTCATATTTGCTCTTTGTTTAGAAACTCTTTGCAGACCCCCCCCCTGCAATCTCATATCCAGCCCATGCTTCTGCTTTACCATTGATATAGGGTTAGGTGTTCCCAGATGAAAGACCAAGGATCTAACTACGCATTCGGTTTTCCACATGTCCTTTCAGTCAGATATCTGCTGCAAGTTTCGTGCTGGGATCTCAATGCCCAAGTGCATGCGGCCCAGTTTAGATCACGATTGTGGCGTGCAAGCAGAATCTGCAACAGTCTCCCCTACCCTGCACTGTTTTCCCAACCTGAAATGGCCCCAGGAGCTGTTCCTTGCTGTATTGTGGGCTATACATGTACTCAAGGGGTACAAATTGTCCCAGTGGGGCAAACAGTGTCCCCCAAGGCCATTTTAGGTCAGGAAAACAGTGCAGGATGAGGAGGCTGGTAACCGGGTTCTCCGCGAGGAACTCACGGCTGCCATCTTGAGTGGAAAACCCAGGCACAACGTCTGATAAAACAAAATCTTTAGTTAGGCCCACAGTGTGGTGTGCACAGTCTCAGGGTACCAGTTTTCTTCTGTGTGTACTAGACAGGGCCGGCTTGAGGTGTTTCTGCGCCCTAGGCGAGGCTGCCTTATGGCGCAGATGCCAACGTCCCGGTGGGGCCTGGAAACCTGGAGCCCTCTGGAGCCAGCCACCCTTTTGCTGCTGCCACCACCGCCTCCCCCCCGCCACCACCAAAGGGGGGGAGGAGGGGGGGAGGCACAGCTTGGGGCCCCATCCAGGGCCCGGCGCTCTAGGCAGATGCCTAGTTCGCCTAGTGGGTGAGCCGGCCCTGGTACTAGAGTATACGTTCATTTATATTTATTCCATTAAACATTTGCCTCATTCCTCCTACAAAAAAAAGGTTGCTAACCATCTTAAGGATATTTGATCCATGACCTCATGCTACTCCTCTTTCTGCTTTACCTCCTTGTCAGTCCCGGAACAGCTTCCAGCAAGGAGACATTGATGGAGCGCGGCGCCTGGGAAGGGTAGCAAAACTGCTGAGCGTTGTCGCGCTAGTTGGGGGTGTGCTCATCATTGTGACCTCTTGCGCCATCAACTTTGGATGTGAGTATCTGGGAAACCTAAAGTGGATGGGACTCTCAAAGTCTTATTTTTATCTTAAACCCCCCCCCCCCCCCGCAATTATTTGCATTCTTGCCCACTCATAACTCAGGTGCAATTTTAGCAAAGACAAATCGAAAAGAATACACCCCCCAGCGGTTTATCATTCTGCTCTTAAAGCTAAAATTCATAACTGATGCTATGCATTCAGAGAAGAGTATGAGGTTAGGGATGCCAACCTCCAGGTGGGGCCTGGAGAGCCCCCAGAACTACATCAGATCTCTTGACTACAGAGATCAGGTCCTCCGGAGAAAGGGGCTCCTTTGAAGGATGGACTCCATGGTGTTATACCCCTCTGAGGTTCCTCCCAGACCCCCGCTTCCCTGGCTGCACCCCCAAATCTCCAGGAATTTCCCAAACCGGAGTTAGCAACCCTGTTACCAGAAAGCATAAGGAATTATGCAGGGACCCTGGAGGAGAGGAAGAAGAAGAGGAAGAGATTGGATTTATACCCCCCTCCCCGCACTACCCAAAGGAGTCTCGGAGCGGCTTACAATATCCATTCCCTTCCCCTCCCCACAACAAACACTTTGTGAGGTAGGTGGGGCTGAGAGAGCTCAGAGAGCACTGCTCTCGAGAGAACAGCTCTGAGAGAACTGTGACTGACCCAAGGTCACACCAGCAGCTGCATGTGGAAGAGTGGGGAATCAAACCCGCCCCCAGCGTGCCCAGTGTGGTCGCGTCACTTCAGGGTGACGTGAACGTCGGGGTGGGGTTCCCCCCGGGGCCCGATCCACCGGTGGCGGGGAACGGGCCTCTGGGGCGGTGGTTTCCCCGCCCCCCGTGGGGACTTGGCAAGCCTAAATGGAGCCCACAGGCACGACTTTGGGAACCCCTGGCATAGAAGGATGCCCATCTCTCATTAAACAGCCCCATTTTAAATTACTCTCTCCAATCCCTCGAAATAGAAAGGGTTTCTTATGTAAGAAAAATCTTCACAGCTGTTCTAAAATGGCTACCCATATGTCAGTCCCAACTGCTCTTTTTCAGACAGACCTGGGAGCGGAGTAAAGCATTGTGGCACATGGGTGGCCATCAGCAGGGATTTTATTCATACCTTCTCTACTGGTATAGCATTTGGGAATGGAGGACAAAACAAAAACACTCGGAAGACATGACTGCTCCTGCTCCTTCAGTGTATTGTTCTGTGCCTACCAAAGTATTTTGAGAGTTCAGGTAATAAGATTATTACTGTTGGTTGAGCAAATCCTGTCCCATGTTTTCCCTTATGCAAGGAAGTCAACCTTTCTTTCATGCAAGGAAGTCAACCCTTCTTCTCCTCATAGAGATGCCCCGACCTCTTGCATTTTCTTATTAGCACTCCAAGGATAGAGGCAGCATCTTGAAACATTCACATCTCCTTCTTTTGCTCTGTTCTTTCTCTTCTCATGGCTCCTTTCCCTTCATGGAGAGAAAGCCAGTTTGGTGTAGTTGTTTATTTATTTATTTATTTAATTCGATTTATACCCTGCCCTCCCCGCTGCGCGGGCTCAGGGCGGCTTACAAGGGCACAGACTCTAATCTGGGAGAACCGGGTTTGATTCCCCACTCCTCCACATGCAACTGCTGGTGTAACCTTGGGTCAGTCACATGTTCTCTCAGAGCTCTTCTCTCAGGAGCAGTCCTCCAAAGAGCTCTCTCAGCCCCATCTACCTTACAGGGTGTCTGTTGTGGAGAGAGGAAGGGAAGGAGAATATAAGCCACTCTGAGACTCTAAGTGAAGAGCGAGGTCAGTGCTCCCTCTAAGCTGACTTAGTGTGAGCCAGCTCATAGTTTTTTAGCCTCTGGCTCACACATTTTTGTCTTAACGCAGGAAGGATGGCTGCAGAGCAAACTGATTTATGCAGTGGCCAAATCGCTTACTCACAACTTTAATGCCAGTAGCTCACAAACTAGAATTTTTGCTCACAAGACTCCACAGCTTAGAGGGAGCATTGAGCAGGGTTAGGCTTGCCAAGTCCCCCCCGGGGGGCAGGGAAACCCCCCGTCCCAGAGGCCTGTTCCCCGCCGCCAGCAGATCGGGCCCCGGGGGGGAACCCCACCCCGACGTGCGCGTCACCAGGAAGTGACGTTAGGACGCCGGGCACGCTGGGGGCGGGGCCACGACCATCGGAGGGAAAACTCTATGGTTTTCCCTCCGATGG